TATAATAACTTTAAAATATTCCCAAGATTTCAAAGCATTCGGTTTTGTAATTCCTAATTAAATCGATAAAATAAATTCACGCCTTCATTAATTTTTTTGAGTCACCCTGCATATGCAAATCCAAAAATATGAATGGAATGATAAATCACAAGTGCAGACTCATCATATTTTGTACATTTTAGATACGATTTATTCGGCAAACTTTTGAGCTGACGTCATCAGTTTTTTGTAGAAGATAACCAAATATATTTTGACTAAAAATTTATTATGCTCTTTATAACCTTAAAACATCTGCAAGATTTCAAAGCATTCGGTTTTGTAGTTCCTGATTAAATCAATAAAATAAATTTACGCATTCATTAATTTTTTTGAGTCACCCTGTATATGCAAATCGAAAAAATTTGAATGGAATGATAAATCACAAGAAGAGACTCACCATATTTTGTACATTTTAGATAGGATTTTTTCAGCAAAATTTTGTGGTGACATCATAAATTTTTTAGGGGGGACGACCAAATACGTTTTGATAAAAAATTTACCATGCTTATGATAATTTTAAAATGTCTTCAAGATTTCGAAGCATTCGGTTTTGTAGTTCCTGAGTAAATCAGTAAAATAAATTTACGCTTTCATTTATTTTCTTGAATCACCCTGTATATGCAAATCCAAAAAATATGAATGGAGTGATAGATCACAAGTACAGACTGATCATATTTTGTACATTTTAGATATGATTTATTCGGCAAATTTTCGAGCTGACGTCATCAAGTTTTTGGAGGGGATAAGCAAATATATTTTGACTAAACATTTATTATGCCCTTTATAACCTTAAAACATCTGCAAGATGTCAGAGCATTCCGTTTTGTAGTTCCTGACTAAATCAATAAAATATATTTACGCATTCATTAATTTTTTTGAGTCACTCTGTATATGCAAATCCAAAAAATATGAATGGAGTGATAAATGACAAGTACAGGCTCATCATATTTTGTACATTTTAGATATGATTTATTCGGCAAACTTTCGAGCTGACGTCATCAAGTTTTTGGAGGGGATAAGCAAATATATTTTGACTAAACATTTATTATGCTCTTTATGACCTTAAAACATCTGCAAGATTTCAGAGCATTCGGTTTTGTAGTTCCTGATTAAATCAATAAAATATATTTACGCATTCATTAATTTTTTTGAGTCACCCTGTATATGCAAATCCAAAAAATATGAATGGAGTGATAAATCACAAGTACAGGCTCATCATATTTTGTACATTTTAGATATGATTTATTCCACAAACTTTTGAGCTGACGTCATCAAGTTTTTGGAGGGGATAAGCAAATATTTTTTGACTAAAGATTTATGATGCTCTTTATAGCCTTAAAACATCTGCAACATTTCAAAGCATTCTGGTTAGCAGATTAAAAATTAAATTTCAAAATGTTGTTTTATAATTTTGATTTTTTTTCCAAAAATCTGGACGTTTCGGGTGAAAAGTCGATTCAGAGTTGTAAACTACATGTGTAGGACTATGTTATTTTATACAATTGAAAACCCATTTACTATGTACAATTTTGAAGTGACGTCATCGCATTAGTGGTGGGGATGATTAGACAAATTTTGGTTAGCGTTTTACCATCTACATGATATTCTTAATATAAGTACAAAATTTCACAACAATCGGTCGAGTACTTTCGGAGATTATCTGTCTAATAAAAATCCGGGACAACAGACGGACAGACGGACGGACAGAGGGACGGACAGACGGACGGACAGACGGACGGACAGACGGACGGACAGACGGACGGACAGACGGACGGACAGACGGACGGACAGACGGACGGACAGACAGACGGAAATGGGAGACCTATTTCTTCGTCTTCTAGGGGTCATGAAAGATCGAGAAAACGTAAAAGTAGAGAGTCGGCCGACGGACTCGATTACAATACTTCCTTTGCTTACGCTCGGGAAGTAAAAACGAAAGAAACCTCCAAAAAACGTCAAAAAAAGACAAAAAGGGAAAGCCAAAAAGTACCCGAAAACACAAAAAACGCAAAAATTGGTCTTAAAAACTACCAAAAAAAATTGCAAAAAAATCGGCAAAAAGGGAAAAAATAAGGCATCGAACAAGCGCAAGGTACAAACAAAATGCCAAAAGAGTGAAAAAAGGACAAAACAGCGACAAAAAAGGTTAAAAATCGTTAAAGAGCCTAAAATGCTAAAAGAGTAAACAAAAGGCAAAAAATGAGAAAAAAAAATGAACAAAAAGGATCCCAAAAATAAAGGCGTCACAAAAAGCCAACTAAAAAAAATTACAAAACCACAACACAAAAAAACACTCATCAGAAAAGTACCTAAAAAGCTAAAAAAAAAAAAATGTAAAAAAAATACAAAAAATACAAAAAGTAAACGAAAGCGACAAAAAACTACCAAAGCCACGAGATTAACGACAAATAAAGACAATAACTTGGTAAAAAGTCGAAAAAACAAAGCACCAAAAGAATCTATAAATCAAATTAACAAAAAAATGTGGAACAAAAATGCGACCAAAACAAGCACTAAAAAAACAGAACGACAACAAAAAGGTTACAAAAATTGCGCCAAAAAGTTTGAAACCCGGAAATAGTGAGATAAATATGTAATAAAAAAGTGCGACAAAATCAGATGAAAAAAAAGCGATGAAGAGATGTAAAAACGCCAAAAATGCACCACAATATAGGGAAAAAAAGCTTCAGGAAAACCAGACAAGTTTAACGAAAAAAAAAAAGAAAAGGAAAAAGATGAGAGAAAAGCATGAAACAAAAAAATGGCAAAGAAAAGAACAAAAATAAAGAACAATAAGAAAATATGACCACACTAAAAAAAGTTGATTAGCGATTTACTTTAAAACACTTGCAACATTTCAAAGCAATTCAAAGTAGTCGGATTTGTGGTTTCTAAGTTAACTTGAAAAATGTTGTTTTGCAACTTTGATTTTTTGCCAAAAATCTAGAAGTCGAAAGTAAAAAAAACGTTCTATTATTACAGTTTGTATATACTGTCAATATACAAAGAATAAAACAAAATTAACACGTGTTTGCGAATTCACTGCCTTAGAAAACTCATTAGAATTACCAATCAAAGGGTAATTTTTTTGCAGTGCCCCCAAACGTACTAAAACATGGTCATTGGAGTTATTTTTCATCTTTAATGGGGTTTCGTGGCGTTGTTTTTATTGCTAGCACGAAATTTCTTTTTCAAATCGGGACACCACAATACAGTTTTTCCTATTGAATTATCAAATTTTGTAGATTATTATCTCATATCTCATAATGTCTTCGACACACTGACAATGATAAAACACGAAACATCAATTATTTGGTAATTACAAAATTAACCAAAATTATATAAATATTAAATCTGTAATTTTGATTTCAATTATCGTTTCCTTTTTTAGTTGAAAATTAATATTATATGAAAAAAATGTAAAAAAAAATGTAGGACAGTCAGATATTTTGCTTCTAATATTGACACAACTAATTTTTCAACTAGCGAATTAAGCAAGACTTCTTTTAATTACTATCTTAATTGCCCTTAAACCTTGTTATTTCCTCACATTGCATGTCTTCCGAAAATTAAATTAACCAAATTACACCTCACGGTTTTTGCCAATGAAAAACACAAGTACAAACAATCAGATTCAATGTAATCCTATACATGCGTTCGAATATCTCAATAAACGTGTTAATTTCTCGATATTCCGCAAACATTGCGCAAAACTCTGAAAACGTTTATTATTATTCCGCTATTGTTGACGCGCCGTAAGAGAGCAATAATTACATTAAATTTGTAAAAATGTTCGTTTTGGGTTAAGGTCGCCCAAACTGTTAATATTTTCCTCACTTTGAACAACACCGCTCGGAAATTTACTTGTTTTGTTTAACAGATTCTTGAATAGAATTTAATTAAGCTGGAAGTGTGTTTAGCGAGAAGAATAGACCGAAACGCACACGAAAATATGTTTTTTCGTCGTTTTATTTTATTACTTCCTCGAATTTACTTCCTTCCTGCCGTGGCTAGTCAGTGGAATCAAATTTCGTCGAATTTAATAAACTCGAACAATAATAATCAATAACTTTTGTCTAAGTGACTCGGAAGCACAATAGAGCTTAATATAAACGTACATCGAAAAGGCTTCTTCTTCTACGTCAAAAAAAACGCTTAACAATGTTATGAAACTATGAGAGCACTCTTTAAATTGTGTTATTAAAGTCACCATGTCTGTTGCAACTGGGTTACACAAGATCATCGATTAATTATTTTATTGTTCCGATTAGATGCTAATTGTTAATTTAATTTTTTGAAATTAACACAACGTAGTTATTGCAGACATAAGTCATGACTCCACAGCGGGTAATCTCAGTCATTTCCATTCGATGCATGTAATTACAATTGAAACAATGTCGTAAAACTTTTCTTATCTATTAAAATGTAGGTAAGTAAATACTTCACTTGTCGCGTACTCTATTGCAAACTTTAAGGTACAATAAAAGGCAGCGTTGCTTAAGAAATAATGCAATTACTTTGGTGGCCTAAAAATAAAAACTTGCATTTCTTTTGTAACGAAGTAATTATTTTTATACTTCAAATATCGTGACAATTGAGGTTTTCTACTTAATTATTCATTCAATTACCTGCTTAAGCTTTGCGATAGTTCGTGCTCGATTAGGAGGTTTTCAGTGCATGAAGAATTTAATTACGAATTGATTGATAGGTCGATTACCGTTAATAGAGTACAAAAATGCGGATTGTGTTTCTCATGCTAAATTCAACAATTGATTCCGCAGAATTATTGTGAATCGCATCGTGGGTAAGACTACATAACGCAAGTAACGTCAATGTTTGCACAAGACCTGTGTGTATTTTTATATCAAGGTCATAATAATCATCCCTCCAGTTTTTTAGACAAGACAGTGCAAGGCCTTCTTTTGGAACATCTCCCACACATATCAACGAAGATGTGAATACACTTTCACCCGGTGTAGTTGTGGGGATCTATAAATACCTGCGAGCATCTTCATCAACCATCAACTTCGCCGAAGACATCCTTCCGACGTTTACTATTTAGTGTGTGCAAGTGCGAGCAAGCATGAGTTCTTTTAAATTAGTGGTCAGTGATTATTTAAATTTTTCTCTTTAATTTTCGTAGTAATGTATCTGATAAAAAGATAGTGATCCACAGAAATTAATTAGCACGGATATTACGTCTAATTCATTCAAAGATATGCTTTCTTTGTTGTGTTTAGCACTTTTTACGTAATTCGGGATTAACATGTATTGTGCTTTACATAATTTTCGGCTGAATTTTGTTTCAAAATTTTATTGTTGTTATTAATTTAATTAGGGTTTTGTAATGATTATCTAATTTCCAGAGCTGCACACTTGCACTGTGTTGTTTGCTGAATGGATCTCTTGGGGGACAGCTCACTAAGCGTGACGGTAAGTAATCCACTTAATTTAATTTGTTGTTCTTTTGCTGTTTGCATAAATTAATTGTAATTCGGGATTTGTATTGCAAATTTCTACCTCTAAGTTCTGCCTAGGCAAATGTCACATTAACGTAAATTTTGTTAACGTTTTGTTTCACGAAGTAGGAAAAACGGTATGAAAGTTGACAACACGCTATTAAAGTATCGTTAAAGTCTATGGCTTACATATTTTTTGTTTTTGTTTTAAATTTCTTTGCGTTTCTGCACTTTTTTCCAGTTGTGCGTATGTTAGCTAATAAGAAATTTAAACAAACCGCAGTTCCGTTTGATTTACAGTGTGCCCCGAATAATATCGAGGTTACGAATTATTATAAGAATGTCAAACAACGTTCACAATTTTAAATATACCAAAAAGAACGACAACAAATGTAATTTTGGACTACAACTCTCATCTTTCGACAATTTTCCAGTTCATGCGTCATTCTCTTTTGTTTATTTTTTTTTCAAAAACTTCTATTATAGCCCTAGACAGAAAAATCAAATATTAGTTGTTCATAAATTTTCAAAGATTTAGCTGGAAAAAAGTTCCTAAGGACGATTTTCCAAATGAAAATTTAACATTATGTCAAACTCAAAGAAAGGTCATTGGTTGATCAAAGTCTTTATTAATACGAAAAAATAGTTCCCCCGTTCGGTCGACCTGTTCTTTATGGTCTACTGTTGTTTTTATTACTCTGAAACTACTGATTTAACAGTTGTGAAATTTTTGATATTACGTAGATATAAAAATTTGACGACGTCGTTTCATTTTTCGACCACCTTCAAAAATTAGTTAGAGAGTTTCGTATAGATCTCGATCCCTAGAAGCTGTTTTCGGATCCATTTTGTCGGAAAAGGCCTACCACTTTTCCAGAAATGAAGAATCGGAAATGTGGGAAACTTTGGAATTTTTAAAAAATTTTACATTCAGCCGATTATTTCGAAAATTTTGGTCAGGGAGCACGAATACACTAGAGCACGTCGAGATCTATATTCCAGAATTTTTATGGATTTTTAGGCCATTTTTTTTAAAAGCTCAATTTTCAGTACCTACTTTGTAAAATGTTTGATGATTTTTCGACCAAAACCAAGTTACATCAAGACATTTTTTTGAAAATCTTGTCCTAGAATAATAAAATCTTTATATTTTTCGAATTAGCACGTTGAGAATGTTTTCTAAATATTTTGTCAAATTTTCAAAAAGTTCAATTTTTCAATATTTTTAACATTTTTCGCCTTGGAAAATTAGCCTAAAGACATTTTTTGTAGTTTGACTCCTAGAAGTTATTTTCGGCCCCATCTTTTAAAATTATTACAATTTTTTCGAAATCATCAATAATTGAAATATGGCAAAATTGACTTTCAAACCGAATATAAAATTCTAGCAATTTCGTCCTTCTTCTCAAAGTGGCTAATGTTGACCTGGACGCTCTAGACACAAAATTTAATTTTGCTGTTGTTGTTATCCACTTTTGATTTTTCTTACAAGCATCTAAATATCTAGGGTAAAAACTCAACACGGATTCATAAACCACAAGTACAGGAGCATCTCATTTTTTCAAATTTAAATAATGTTTTTTTCGACAAAATTGTAAAATGACTAAAATTTAATTTACGATTGACCATGTTTCTGACTACCTTGAAATGCTTGCAAGATTCCAGAGCATTCGCTTTTGAAATTTCTAAATTAATTTGTAAAGTGTGGGTATAAAATTTTGTTTTTTCGAAAAATCTGGATGTCTCGAGAAAAAATTTAACACGTCATTGATTTTTTGAGCATTTGATTTCGCAGTTTCAATCTCAAACTGCAAAATGCTGTTGTATAATTTTTATTTTTTTTCCAAAAACCTGAATGTCTACGGTAAAAACGCAACACGTATTCATAAACTACAAGTGTGTGAGTATGTTATTCTATGTAAAAAAGATGACATTATCCCATGATTGGTGGGAGCGACAAATTTTGGTGACACAAACACAAAATTGAAAATTTTGCATAATATGCTTGCCATGATTATAAACGTTCAACTGCCAATTTCAAAATTAAGAAAAAAAGACTTTTTTAAGAAAAAAGTAATGAAATCACAATAAAACACTTAAAATGCGTTTTATCAATTAACGATTTATGAAAATTCGAGGTCTATAATATTCAAGTCCGTATTCATAATTATGAATACGTCGGTAAAATATTTTTAAAATAAAAAAAAATTATGAAAGTTATGACCGTCATAATAGTGTAATTTTCTTATAAAAATTCCGTTTTAGTGCGAAGCCAACACATTGACATAAAATACTGATTTCTACACCTTTACTTTACCTCGATTGCGAAGGTGTTTTACAAACTACCTTATTAAAAAAATCTAAATTCTATAACGCGTTTTAAATTACTCTTTAGTATTTATTGATTTCACATAAATGATAAAAACCCAAGTATAAATAGAACAATAAAAATAGTTATTACAATATTGTTTGTTTTCTTTTGTGATGTCATTCTATAATAAAAAATCTCATTCTTTGAGTCGTGCTTTGAGTGTCAAATATATCCGCGTAAACCTAACATTCTGTTTACTTCTAGCACCCATAGCTGGAGGATATCCTTCCGGCCGTCCTTCCGGAAGTTACTTGCCTCCAGGCGGTGGGTCACAACCTTCTGGTAACTACGGTGCTCCTCAACCATCCAACTCTTACGGAGCTCCCTCTGGAGGCTTCGGTGGTTCAGGAGGTTCCTTCCAATCCCACGGCGGCTCCGGTGGTTCAGGAGGTTCCTTCCAATCGCACGGCGGCTCCTCTTTCGGTCGTGGTAGTGGTGGTGGTGGTGCTCCCTCTCAGAGCTATGGAGCCCCATCCGGCGGCGGCGCTCCCTCCCAGAGCTACGGAGCCCCATCCTTCGGTAAATCTTCCGGTGGATTTGGAGGGTCTTCCGGTTCATTCGGCGGATCTTCGTCTGGATCCTACAACGGAGGTTCTTCTGGATCTTTCGGCAAATCATCTGCTCCTTCCCAAAACTATGGCGCTCCTTCACAATCCTACGGTGCTCCATCTGGTGGCAGATCGCAACCTCAAAGCAACTACTTGCCCCCTTCCACTAGCTACGGAACCCCTGTGACTTCTTCTTTCAAGAGCTCGGGATCATCCTTCGGTTCATCTTCCGGACAATACAGTGCTCCTTCTAGCTCGTACGGAGCACCTTCTCAAGGTCGTAACTCCTTCGGCTCTGCTCCCTCCCAAAGCTACGGTGCTCCTTCTCAAGGACACGGTTCCGCTCCTTCCCAAAGCTACGGTGCTCCTTCTCAAGGTCACGGTTCCGCTCCTTCCCAAAGCTACGGTGCTCCTTCTCAAGGTCACGGTTCCGCTCCTTCCCAGAGCTACGGTGCTCCTTCTCAAGGTCACGGTTCCGCTCCTTCCCAGAGCTACGGTGCTCCCTCTCAGGGTCGTACTCCTTCCCAGTCCTACGGTGCCCCCTCCCAAGGTCACGGATCTGCTCCTTCCCAGAGTTACGGCGCTCCCTCTGGTGGCCGTCCCTCTCAGAGCTACGGAGCTCCATCTGGTGGATTCTCTGGTTCCTCTTCGTATTCGAGACAGCAGCCCTCTCAGAGCTACGGCGCTCCCTCCGGCGGAAACGGTCACGCTAGCAGACCTTCTCAAAGTTATGGAGCCCCATCTGGTGGAAACGGGTTCAAGAGTCAGCCTTCGCAATCGTACGGTGCCCCGTCTCAGAGTTATGGAGCTCCGTCTGGCCGCAACAATGGAGGACATGGAGGTTTTGGAGGGTCTGGCGGATTCGGGGGATCTAGCGGCGGACATGGTAGCTTCGGCGGCGGCAGAAGCCAGCCTTCTCAGAGCTATGGTGCTCCTTCTGCTCCATCTCAGAGCTACGGGGCTCCTTCTGCTCCTTCTCAGAGCTACGGGGCTCCATCTTCCGGAGGACAATCGTACGCTAGCAACGGCGGATACACCTACTAAGCAATCGGACCACTTGTACATAAATAGAGTAATTAATTTATTAAGGAATGTGCAGTATTAGTGCTAACCAGAATTTTGTATAAATAAAATGCTTTTTTTATTACTTCGGGTTTTATTGTATATTTTACAACAATCTTCTATTGCTAACGCTCTAGGAGCTTTATGTTATATATACACTGAACATTCTGACTTACGACAAAGGCTGTTATACAGTTTTAACAGTCTATACTTAATGAGTATACACAACATACCAAATATAATTTTCTATTTTTTTTTTATTCTATATATTACAGCAACAACAGTGGTCGTAACAGTTTGCTACAGTTTCAATGTACATTATCATGTGAGATATAACATTTACCACGAATAACATAAGATAGGTTATCCATATAACCGCAAATCAAAACACTCATAAAATTTATGAGAAAAATATACAACTTTTTTTTTAATAAATAAATTACAATGGGATTTATTATTGTTATAATACATTGTCAGGATGATATATTTTGACTTTTAATTTTTAATGGTAAGTCTTTTATCTCTGTTAAATAAAACACTTTAATTATGTTTAAATAATTTGCTAATTATTGTTCCATCACATTTAACACACCGACAAGATTTCAAAAAATCGACAATTAGAAATACATTTATGCAAAATATTTAGAATAAATAAATATTTAGTAATCCAAACATCTCAACAAACGATTACTTACGGCTCTCAGTGAATACTGTTATTTCTAGATATGTACATATATAAAAACATCTCTAAAGAATTACTTAAGGAGCAACAGTGATATGTATTGTTACGTGATAGGACTCAATTCCCCGATATGTATACGTTTCTTCCAACGAGCTTTCAACAAATTCGATGTCACGACGTGAAAATACATTTCGTTGAAGACTAACAAATAAAACAAATAAAACCGTCGGATATACTCTCGAAAGTAAATAACAAAACCGGCCAGCGGTAATATAATGGCTCTTTACACCTATATAGCACCTACTATCTTCTAACACTTTTATTACAACCAGAAGACAAATGTTTACCCCAATCAAAGTGTCGTTTGTATATCCGGATTAGTACCCGACCTAATACCCCCACCGCTGCTAATCGAACCCCTCAGCTTCTCAATATCAGAAGGTAAAACATCGTCATCAGCCTCCAACGCCGGATTTATCCTTCCATTCCTCTCGTCTTTCCCTACAAGGGTAGCCGCACCGTACAGTTTACCCATAGCCCCGGACGCCATCACCGACATCTGCTCGCCCTCTTCAGCTGGCTCTCCAACCCTCTGTATATCCTCCGGAATGTTGACCACGCAGTGGAAAATGTCGTACCCTGGTGCAAGCCTTCCCGTCTCGAAGACCCACTTCGTCCACCACGAAACCCCGATCAGCGTGATCAGAGATATAATCATCGCTAGCGTTCGGAACGGGAAAAGTTGACGCTGGTTCTCTTCGTCCCATCCCGGGAAGTGGATAAGGGCGTCGAGTCCCATCTGTGGTTCGCCGCCGGACAAGCGAACCAAGAAAGCAATGAGGTAGGCTGCGAGACTTCCGTACGTGTTGCAGTAGTTCTTGAAGTGGACCACCATCAACAACTGAGGGAAAAGAATAACGTAAACCAAATCGGAACACATAGACCTGGAAGAAGAAGATTAGAAAGCGTCGTTGAGGGATTGGCTGGAGTACCATAAACCATAAATGGAAGGAATAGTTAAAGCCATGATTGTTGCTAGTACGCCTACTATGAGGATGGAGACGCGCATCACCCATATGATCTCCATTTCAGACGCCTTCTGTCGGAAGATCAGCTTGTAGACGTTCCGTGCGAACATGGAACTGGCGGAGAGGACGCTAGAATCGGCTGAAGACATCACAGCGGCTGAAACGGCACCCAAGCCGAAGAACGAGACGAAGTCGGGTGTCAAGTACTGGAGTACCATTGGTAGGATCATGCTGCTCTCGTCGGTAGTGAGAGGGTACGGCCCTTTGTAGCCCGTCTCGTTCCAAGCTGAAACCGTTCGGGTTAGCTCGGGAAAATTAAAAATGGTGAGGTAGTACCGGTTGCTTTAGCAATCGCGCCGATTAGTACCGGTGGTATCGCCATAAGGATGCACCCGAAAGCCGCGACGTACGACAAGAGTTGAGCCCGGCCTGCCGATTTGCTCGAAAGAACCCGTTGGAAGTAGACCTGCCAAGGGATTCCTCCGAAAATCAACAACAACCCGTAGTCGACGTAGTAGAAGTACTCTTCTTTCTTGATTTCGCCTATCCAGTCGACGTTCATTGATGACAAGGGCGACACGTGCTCGTTGTTCCAAGCGAACGGTATGCACATCCAAAGACCAACAAAAATACAAAACAACTGAATAACGTCGGTGTAAGCTACGGAATATAAACCTCCGAAGAGGGTGTAGAAAACAGCAATGCAAGCGCTGAAGATGACGCTGGTCCTATGGTCCATGTCGATGATGACGCTCAGGGTAGCCCCAAGGGCTGCCAAAATTCCGGCAGCCCAAAAGACTTCTCCACAAAGAGCCGGAAGGAAGAGAAGACCTCCCATTCTCTCCCCGAAGGAGTCTTGAAGAGGGTCCAACATGGTGATGTAACCCTGTTGACGCATTTTATTGGCAAAAAAAATCCCCCCGAACACTAGACTGAGCGCGTAACCAAAGGGTGCTTGGCACCAAACTAAACCCGTCGTGTATATGATTTCAGCCGTACCATTGATATAGCCTCCGCCCACCCATGTAGCTACAACAGGTTAGTGACTTAGGGGAATTTAGATTGGGGGAAGTACCTGTCATGGTGAAAATGCCGACGAACAAGCCGATGTTCCGTCCGGCTAACATCACCTCTTCCTCGGAATCGTTGCCAGCCTCTTTTTTGCGACCCGCCCATATCCCCACACCCAAAATGAGAACGTAAAAGATGATAATAGAGATGACACCCGCTATGTTAATCATTGCTACAAAAGAGGATTAAGAGGCTTTTGTTCGTCACGCTAGTGCGACTTTTCGGGATTGGACCGCCGCAGAATTAAAGAATATTTCGACTTAACTACATTTGAAAGGAAAGTTTTGTTGTGATAATTAGTTTCGTCAGAACGCATTGCACCACAAATACTCAACTCGTCAAAACACCAACTTTACCCTTACGAAAATGGAAAAATTTTCGAAATCCGTTTTTTGTGGGGGTCCAACCCCGTCCGTTGCAGTCCCGTTACCTGGTCAACCCAAGCGTTTTCCTTTGGCAAAAAAGCAGCAAATCGTCGTCTTCAGTGGGTTTCCCTGATGGTCATAGATGCGTGTAGACAACAGTCGCCCCAACGCAGCGAAGTTTTTTGAGAGGGACTGTTCCGTGTTCTAAACGCTAGCCCGCACATGGGCGCTTGTTAACTTCATCAAAGCCACACGCACCACAGACACCCCAAAGACATACAAATTTGACGCGCTCACGGCTACGACTGTCCTGGTCCACAGCAGGTATTGATCCTCCGTGACGTCAACGAGGAAGGCGTCCCATTGGATGGAACTCACCTCGGTGAAGAGTTGGCGCAGCTGCCCCATTGGAGATGGTGAAGGAAACCCACCCTGCCACCCACTCGCTGCTTTCGAACCACTAAGGTCAGCCGAAAGGACAACATTCGCTCGATACTATCTTGTGGAATTCGGCTTTTTGTTCGTTTTATTGATTATTTCGCTTGTAAACGTAAGCTCATCAATAATTCGCTCTGTTTGTGTTGGATTTTAATGGGGGTGTTTACTAATTCGGGAAAAGGTTTGTTAGGTCGGGGCGAAAGGTCCTTTGTAGGAATGATTTAAGGTAATTATTTATTGAGCAGGTGTCTAAGGGTGATGTTCGATTTGGACCGATGAATAGATTATAAGATTTTTAGCGAAGAGGGGCTTAAATTTTATCGGGTTGAATGCGGGACATTTAGGCTTAACAACGTTCGTAGTCGTACACGATTAACAGTTATTTATCTTTTAAGAGGGATAATACCACTATTACCACACGAGGGTAATGAGGCGTTAATCGAGAATCACAACATTGTGCTAGCTAACGTACCAAGGGTTGTCTGCGGCTTTAAAATGTATTTAAATAAACAAAACAAAAAATGATTAGTTGTACAAACATTTGGGGTAGTATTTATTCAATGTTCATGTAAATTATAATAATAAAAATTTAAGGAACAATAAATGTTAAAAACGGCCTCTAAAAACGGCTGAAAATATAGCGTTTTCTCACATATAAATCAATAAAACAATGCGAAAACAGGTCAAAACCTTAACTTGAAGAATGTTCGTGTACAATCATTTCTAGCTGAAAACAAATGGGAAATTAAGAAAATTCTTAGATATTTATTTGTTTTATATTTTTCTTCTGTATTTTATAAATAAATATCAGGCAAACATAAGGACAATAAAAATAAAATTAATTTAAGATATTCTAATCCTTCATACTGAATTTGTATTTGGATTTGTTTGCGAAAATCTGGATGTAAAAAATCAAGGCTATTCATAAATCACAAATATAGGAAATATAAAATAAAGGATACTGTCTGCACGATACTCCTAATATACATATAAAATTTGACAACAATCGCTTCGGTAGTTTCGAAGATTACTGTCTATGAAATTCGACACATACAGACGGAAACAGGGACCTACTTTCTCGTACTCTATTACAATACTTCCTTAGAAGTAGATACAATTCTAAAAACGTTTTAAACTTCTCTAAAATAAACTTTCACATTTTCCTTACTTACTAGAAAAATATTGTGGCATTTTTAAGTTGTTTCGGCTCAAATTGTTTAAAAACATTCTTTATTTATTTATTTTTTTTAACGAATCCATTAAATTTTTAAATGGTTGTGGGTTATTTCTAAAATTTTCTAGATTGTCTGAAGTAAAATCACAAATCCAGTGTTTTAGAAAAAAAATATACAGATAATACCAGTCAACATGTAAGAAAAATAAAGGAGCCAATGGAGGCAACGAATCTGCCAAATGAGCTATACGGCGTTGTTATAATTTTTTTTTACGAAAATATGCCAAAGATAAATAATCAAAGCAGATTCATAAACCACAAGTACAGCCAAGAAGTAACTTCAGAGTGTGCTACATATGTTGGAGACATGTGAAATTCTAAAATTATGTTAAAAGGTTATCTTGAGGCGATTTGCTAATACGAAATAGCTTATATTTTACAGCGATTTTGCTTATTAAAAGTGGAATAAATGTTTGCCACATTCTAAAAGCTCGGACGCTAATCAGACGCGGACAGTGTGAAATACATTTAAAGCAGATATATCACAAAATTTTGTTTTTTTTTCCAAAAACCTACATGGGCAATAATTTTGAGATTGCGTCATCAAATTTTTGGTGGAAATGGACAACAAATTTTGGTTAGCGTTTTAGCCTAATGTAACCCATAATTTCATGGTGATCTGTCTTGTAGATTCAGGGACGACTTACTTGTCGAAAGACATACTCAAACGGAGGACCTTCTTTTTCGCACTCTAGGAGCTACAAAGCGTTAAGAAAACGTGGAATTAGTGTTATGACTTTGCCTACTACTCTATTATTTGCTTGTTCAGCTCATATCGATATCTCAACTAAAAAAGAAACCTGATACATGAAATTTGAGACACTCGGTGGAATAATTATAAAAACCAATGGCAATATTTTATGTTTTTATTTTTCCAGAACATTAAAAGTGCAACCGAATTTAATACTTGGAAGAAATACTTTCACTCTAGGCACTTAGATTATTTATTTTTACATTTCAAGTCTTATCCACCATAACACTCCCCACAAAAAAGTAAAAAATATACTTTTACATGGTTTTCAAATGTCTTTAATTTGCAGTTGCTTTTTACACTTTTCCGAAAACAAGCAAAAAACGAACCAACAAAATATAATTTATTTTCATTTTTTTATTTGAATTTCGGTCCACGTTTTTAAAATTAGAAAATTGCAACCGATTTTAAGATTTAGAAGAAATACTTTCACTTTCTAGACACTCTGGATATTATTTTGGTAAAGAATATAGCTCATTATTTAGTCATTTTTATATTTTTCAATGTTGATCCACCTCTATACTCCCCAATAAAAAGAAAAAAATATTCTTTACATTGTTTTTAAACATTTATAATTTGAAACTTCTTTGTAAACTTTTTGGAAGCAAGCAGAAGAAGCAAACATATGAATAAAATATAATTAAAATCTTTCGAGAAAATTATTTTTTCACTTGAATTTTAGCGCAAGATAGAAAATCGCTACAGAATTCAATATTTGAAGTAGTAATTTCAATTTAGAGACTCCAGTTTTTATTTTGGTGAAAAATATCAGTAATTATTTTCTCATTTTTATCATTTTTAAGCCTGATCCACCACAACACTTCCCACAAAAAAAAAAAACAAAAAATGTGATTTAGTTTTCAAACGTCTTTAATTTGCAATTACTTTGAAAATTCTGCAGAAGAACAAACCAACAAAAAAAAACAATGTCATTTTGGAGACTCGGATTATTATTTTCGTAAAAAATATTGCTCATTATTTGTTCGTTTTTATATTTTTCAAATCTTATCCGACACAACGCTCCCCACAAAAAAAGTAAAAAGTGCGATTTATATCGTTTTGAAGTGTCTTTAATTTGCAATTCCTTTGTACATTTTTCTGGAAACAAGCAAAAGAACAAACCAACAATTTTGCTTTTCCAGAAAATTATTTTTTCAACATTTGAAAGGAGTCGTTTTACGTTAGAAACTGGGGTTATTATTTTGGTGAAAAACATCACTCACTATTGGCTCACTTTTATCATTTTTAAGCCCGATCCATTACAACATTCCCCACAAAAAAGAAAAAAAATAGCTTTACATCGTTTTCAAACGTTTTAATTTGTAATTGCTTTGTAAACTCTGGAAGCAAGCAAAAACAAACCAACAAAATAGAAGTAAAAAACATCTGATAATGATCCAACACATTTCAGCATCAATTGGCTCTGTTTTATCGTTAGTTGTATTTAAAAAAATCTGATAAAAATTAAACCAACTTGGTAGATATAAATATCACAATAGCACAGGAAAACTACTCGGCAACATATCAGTTAATCTGTATCTCCTGAGTGTTTGCTGTGGCAATTACTTTTTGAGTATTAACTAAATAACATCTTTTTTTTTCAATTTGTGTTTTGTACATGATTTGTTATCTGAAGTACCGTTGCTGAACTTTTTCGGTAAAATGATTCATAATGTTGTTAAAAGAGATAATAAATTGTTTTCCAAAAATTTTGATTTTTCAAAATTCTGAAAAAATGATATTGAACAACACATTACCCTTTCGTTCGAAAAGTAATTTATTTAGAACAGCATTCATTAATTCTGTTAATTTAACTAAACAACGTGTCTCTGTAAACACGCAACTAGTAGTCACTAAGCTAGACAATAAATTAAACGGATCCAAATGAAAAATTGATCACATTGTCGCTGACAAACGTAAACTAAAATTATATCGATCAAAACGTATTTGATCAACACACAATATTCCGTTATAAAAAGCGTAACCAATTTATAAACAATCCATTGTGGAACTCAATCAAATATGCTTATGACAACACGAAAGCACCATATTGCGCTCACGAGCCCAATAACAACACCCTGGTTGAATTTCAGGTCACATCTTCTAACATAATTTACCCGAAAATTCTCCACGAATAATTAATACCGTCATCAAATTCCGCATCCATCATAATAACCTTCGCCGCTAAACAAATTTGACAAAATTCCTTATCTCGCGAACCGATCTAACAAATGTCCATTTTGTGTTACATCTGCGTAGAAAATTGCAACCTTTCACCTTTTTCTCTTTAATAGCGGCAATTAACTACGAGATTTTTAAGGAAGCGAGTCATCTCCGATTGCCAATAATCATTTACCTCTAACGTAACAAAAACGTGCTTTCATTTCCAAAGCATTTTATGTAAATCTGTCAACGCAACGACGAAACGTGTAGTTCGGCGAGATCCTTCCATCACGCACTCCACATAAATTACGAACGGTAATGAATGAAGGTGTGCAGAGGATCAATAAGTTCTATACCTGACCTGCAAAGTTAAAAATACGTTTTTTCCGCGCTTACATTTTGTGTTTTTCTTTCTAATTGGTATAAATAACCACTCGCGGTGTAGAGAAGATTTATAGCACAATAAAACGAACTAAACATGTATGCTTTTACTTAGTTAGCGGTGGTTTGTGCGTAAAAATGTCCACTGCAACGATAACTAAAACGGAAAGCTTTGACAAAAATAAATATTTTTTGCTGTGTGTGTGTGGATTACTACGAACGTGCTAAAAATGGAACGATTGATACTGTGTCTAGGTTTTGTTCTTGTTCACTTTCTAGTACAACAGTCACATATATGCTCATCTATTTTATGTTTCGCGGTGAAAATAAATGTGAATG